TACCCTTTCCAAATATGAACATTTCCCCGTATAAAATAAATAAAATATCCAAAAACTTTTACCTCTACATTATCTATTATATTACAAACGTCACCAACTAATTCATACCGCAAACAGTACAAATGGTTACAAATACTTAGTGTCAAATATTTAAATTATTTCCATGCACGTTTACTTCCACTCTAACGTATACCAAATTCCTACAAATATAATTCACAAAATAATATCATTTAATTAAAATATATTAAATTCAAAACACTACTTAAAATATAAAAATCATTGCTATAACAATTTTCCAATAATACCATATTATTTTTTTACTCCTTACATTTAGAACAATGCATAAAATAATATCCTCAAATAATTAAAAATACTAACTTACCTAATCTTCTTCAGAATCTTGATTACGTGTCCGATAAACTTTTCTTATTTCCTCTGCTAAATAAAAAGCAAGCGTATGGTGCCTGTTTCAAGATCTTTAAAATCATACTTATAGTTCACAGCAAGGTACCAGGTAAATAAATAACTAATAAAAACATCTTTACTTCTATCTCGCACAACCTTAAAGAAACACTTATTACTAACCCTTTCAATCCCACTAAATACCCATTTCGAATTCACTTTAGTTAAGGCCATGGGATCCAAAAATTAACGAATACTGTTTCACAAACACAGAATAAAGCCAATACAAAATTTCCAGATTTTTTCCCGATTTCCCCCCTTTTCCGATTAAAGAACCGTAATTCGTCCATTAATATCACATGACATATCCCATGATCTCTCATTTCCCTCACACAAAATAATTCGTAATCGGAACTGAGTACTGCTCACATTATTACCAAAGTCCCAGGTAGTAACCTTTATCGCCTCCAAAATGTCGCCAAACTACCAGTTACCATATTCTAAAGATCAGCCCAAAATTATTAGCACAAAAAACTAAGCAACTTAAACAGCTTACATTGAAAGAAATGTTTAATAAGGTAAACAAATAAATATTAAGCTTTTTTTTAAAAAAATTAATACCCTTTACATCATAAGAACGATTTCATAATTTTAATTGGTACTTCCGTATTAACGCAACCAGGCCAAAATTCACCAAATTTGGCGACCCTACGTGTTATACGTAGTTTTTCATAAAGAAATTATTTTTCTTACTGGTTAGATTGAATGCCCTGAAATACTTTAACTATGGGTATTTGGGATCTGTCTGCGAGTGAAAAAGATGCTGTTGAATTGTTGCAGGGATATGGAATTATACCGAACGAACGTACTTGTAAAAATTCTCATAAAATGAAACTGTATTTTGGAAAGCAAATCTTCTGGAAATGTAACGTTGAAGAGTGCAATCAACATTTGGGTGTGAGAACCGGAAATTGGTTTGAAGGTAGCCGAATTTCATTTGTGACAGTGGTGCGCTTCATTTATTGTTGGTGTAAAGAGTTAACCTAAATTAAATTTTGTGCAGAAGAGATGGGAATTGCTGACAAAACTGTTATAGATTGGAATAATTACATGCGGGAGATATGTGCCCTTGAAATGGATGAAAAAGAAAGAAAGCGAATAGCAATAGCCAAAAGATTTCTGCCGAAAAAATAATTCTGCAACTTATTCAAATTCGAAACCGGAAGGGTTTAATTGCTATTTTATATTTTAAAACAAAATAATATAAAAAACTGTATTAAAAATTATCTGTAATTAATAAATTTACATTTTCTTTCTATTCATACTTTTTTACTCAAACTTACAAATGGCGCCAACCTGGTTGCGATAATACGTAAGTACCTTTTAATTAAATAATTTTTAAATGACATCTTACTAGATTTAAACTGATGATCTAACATCCGAAAAACCCCAAACCCGGAATCGGTGAAGACCCGACGAGCCCGGTTATCGGACTTTGTACTGTATTGCACGAAAGGCAGTCAGTCTGTTGGCTAATCTTTGGAATATGGTAACAGGTAGTTTGGCGACATTTTGGTAAGGCGATAAAGGTTACTAGCTAGGACTTTAGCAATAATATGAGAAGTACACAGTTCCAGTCACAGATTATTTTGTGGCGACTTTTATAATAGATAATTTAGAGGGAAAAGAAAATTAATGTAATTTCTTGCATATTTTATTTATTTTATACGTGCAAATGTTCATCCTTGCAAAGGATATATGCAAGCTCAAGATATAAAAGCTTGCATAGTACACATACTTTTTAGCGATCAGGTAATTTCATATGTCCTTTTTACAGACTTCAAAGATTCACAAAATTTTCAAGCAAATTTTTCTATTTTATGAGACAATTATTTACATGTTTCATATATAAATTTTCTCTGTAAAAACAAATTTCTGTCCCCATTTGTTCCACTACTTTCTGGAAACTTCCGATCATGATTTTAGCTAATAAGCACTTAGAAGCAATTTTGCACCTAATCTTCGTCATGATTAAGCACTTTTGTTCCATAAAAGTTCTAGCATAAACGTAATTCGGCTAGCAGATTGTTGGAAAAAATGTTGAGTAGAACCAAAAACAAAATGGCATCCAAAAAAAAAAAAAAAAAAAAAAAAAAACACCAGGTTGCTGTAGCAGGGTTGGTCGCCAAATTTTCGTCAAAAAATCGACGAGTTACCATAATCCGAAGATTCACCAGTCTGTTTTCTGGAATGAGATCCCCAGTCAATCAGCCTTATTATCTACTCTGGGACTATCTAGCTTATTCGCAGTATAGATTCTTCTTTACTGCAATAAATCCAACAATGTGAGATTTGTCAAGACAAGAAGAAGTGAATATTCTCCTTCTTCAAGACAAACAGTTTTCTCACAAGATAAAAATGTACTGAAAGCTGGGATGTCTATAAGGCCTTCATTCATGCTGTAAGAAAAAGGTATCTGAATAGAAATATGGTTTGTTGGATTACACATTCTTTCTGTTACCGTCATATGATTAATTTTGTAAGTTGGTGGGAGTAATGGTACTGCATACAAGTTTCTTATTACTGTATTTACTCATGTAATAGTCGCACCTCCATTTTGAAGAGTAAAAAATTGTCAAAAGTGTATAATATTGTGTAGTAGATTTCTCGGTATAATAGTCACACATGGACTTTCGCAATGAAAAATTGGCAGAAAAAGTGCGACCTTTACACGAGTAAATACGGTATTTTGACTTAATGTTAAAAAATCAATAGATGCAATAAAGCTGTAAAAATTGAGGAAAAGTTATTAAAAGGACAAATTCTTCCCCAAAGTAGATTTTTGGAGGAGGTGTCGGAGAATATCCCTTGTTGCTGTTCTCTGTCATTCTGTTTTGGCTAGTATTGAGCTAAAGGTCTGGGGAAAGACCTGTCTGCCAATAATGCATAGTTAGAGTAGATAGGGTGCTCCTTGTATTACTGCAAAGTTGTTGTTTCATTTATGGTAACCTGAGTATTTGAATGTTATGGAAACCCTTTTATGACGTGCAGGATTGCGGTAAATTTTGAATGATGGGAAAAAATTCGTAAAGGCTTGTGGTGTGTGTAGGTTAGGAAGTACATTGCTTGTTTTGTGGTTCAGACGGTAGAATGTGGTAAGATTAATTTGAAGTTTTTGTATGATTTGAAACGAAAGGAAAAAAGAGCATTAATTGACTGGTGTGTAAATGAAGGTTTACTTAGTAGCCATTATTAGTGTCCAGTTTGTAGGAAGGAAATGAGTATGGTTGAATGTTGGAGGATACCACCACTACAGAGGATATGTTTGTTAATTTATGTGGCGACGCCGATATACGAATTCTAGTTCAGATAATGTTAGGAGTTTTTTGGATGCTATTAAGGAATTTTTTGTGCCACACACTCAATATGCAGAAATTTCTAAATAAGGTAAGTGGATATTTGCTTTGTGTAATGCTTAGATGAATTTCCCTTTTTTATGTTATTTTATTGTTTGATTTAAAATGTAATTTATTGAGATTATGTATTTTTTGTTTGGCTCTACTGTGGAATTGAGTGCTCCTTTGACTTTTTAAGTGAAAACAGATCAATGTGTACATGGACAAAGTCAAGGGAGTACGCAATGTCAAATTCTCTGATGTTTTTCAAGTGAAAATAGGTCGATGTGTACATGGATGAAGTCAAGGGAGTGCGCAATGTGAAGTTCGCACAATTCTCTGATTTTTTTTTTAAAGTGAAAATAGGTCAATGTGTACACGGATAAAATGCCACATTTTGGTCAATGCTCTGATGTTTTTTAAGTGAAAATAGCTCAATGTGTACTTAGATACAGAATTTGACCTTAAAGCCAAAGTAACAAGTCAAAGAATTGCACAAACTCGGTATCCCTGTATCGCCAAGGGGCCCCTGTTAATATATTTTTACCATAATGCACATAAGAAAATGTGTCAATATGGCACTGAAATGCATGCTATGTTTTTAATGTAAGAGGTACCTTAAATTGTTTGACACTGCGAAATTTCTAAAGTTTCCAAATACTTTTGCGACTTGCACCACACGTTTTGCAGTACAGAAAAGCAGCAAATTAAATAGCATTTCTGTATAAATATTTTTTCAGAAATAACAAAAAGTAACAATTACAGGATGCTGAATTGAAATCTCAAGCATGTATTTATTAAAAATTTTAACTAATAAGGCTTCAGGAAACGATGTAAAAAAGCAATTAAGGTTTAACAAATTAGCCAAATTGGAAAAAATCTTACGGAAACGGTCTTATACTTCTCCTATATATTTCGTTTTGCAATTATAGAACCGGCTAACTGGCCTATGCAAACACTTTTAATTACTGACTTTGAAAATATTTCTTTAAACAGTTTCAGGGTCATAAGAATTTTTGCAATTTGATATAAGTCTTTTGATATTATCAAAATTTTTCACAGTCTTTAACAAATTTTAAGTGTTACCAATTGCACATTTTTAGAAATTGTACTAACACAGGGATACTTATAATATTTCTATAAAACAAAAACCAAAAATTACATATAAAGGTGAATCTTTTAACCGAGAGTGAAATACAGTACCTCAATAATTCACACTATAATTGAAGGACAGACAGACAGACAAATAAGACAGATGTCTTTTTGTTGCTAAGTCTTTTTGCCCCGATGGCCAAAAAATCAAGCATAGGTGCGTACCACGGAGCGTACTATTGTTATGATACTAGTAAAGGCCCAAGGGCGATCCTAAGTGTTAGTAGTATTTAATTTTGTATATGTGTTATGCAAATTGTTGCTCAGATTCTTTACTATATATTGTTCTTTTTTCCTCCTGATTGCATTTTGTTTTTACTAGTGGCACTAAGACGTCGCACTTCGTATTTTGTTTCTCTTGTGTGTACATGTATTCTTCTGTGAAATAGTTGTTAAAAAAAATAGTTAATTATGTATGGATTAGTAATTAGGTACTTAAGGAAAAAAATATGTATTTAACTATTAGCAATTATGTATTTAAACTCTTACTCATTTAATCATTTAGCACATTCAGTTATATTTCTCATAAGTCGAAACTTTTATCATGTTATTCGATGAGGGGTATGGCTATGGCGCCCAGGCAGCGTATTTCCAAACCCTACCCCACTTTTCGAATTTTTTACGTCACGGAAATATCGACTAGTTTTACCTGGCAAGACGGCGTACCCCACTTTTGACTACTACGGCGCGTTTTCGAAAGAATTGTGGTGTTGATTAGTGTGGTTTGGTGCTATGTGAGATTTTCGCAATTTAAATTATATGAGTGGAAATTTAAGCAAAATCGTAAGTGAATTTGTTTATCGCCGTAGTGTACTTGAGGAAAGAGAAGAATAATTCATGCTGATGGCATTAAGTATGAAAAATTTGGAAGACTCGGCAATAATGTGATGCATTCATCGCAAAATTCAGCGAAGCCAGTAAAACAAACGAGTTGTTCGCAAAACTTATCCACATCTGAATTCACTATGCAAACTGTATGTGTGCCAACCCAGATATTTTAACAAATAAATAAATTAAAAAAAAAACTTGCAGAAAACTTTAGATCAAGGAATAAGAAAGAATTGCAGTGCCTCTGTGTGCTTAAAAACTACGAAGCATTCTGCAGACTTTTATACCAAAATCAAGGTTGACAAATAGATTAATAAATTTTAATGTTTCTTTAGTGCATATATTTCAAAAGTATTAAAATACTTGGACAGTTGTTTAATTGCTTAAAACAGCAATTCATTCTATAAAGATATACAAGGAACTTCATAATTATCAAAATATTTCATTGCTTTGGTGAAAAACCAAAATTACCTACTTTTATAACTTAAGTATCTTCGTAACTGTAGTATTATGCTCTGTTTTATAACTTTATTCATTTGTTATACATTAAAATATTTTGTTTTATTTACTAAATGTGTAATCAATTATCAGGATTACTGTAAATTTCCATACAGCTTGTGCAGTGTGATTGCATGTTTGTGTAATGAACTTGATTTTCATGAACGAAAAGAAAGTTCAAGTTGGTGTCGTGCAATTTTGACGATATAAATACTGAAATGTGTGTACAGTAAAAATTCAACTAAAAAATATCCGGAAAGCTCTTGAAATTTTGGATAGTCGAGCATAAAAATGAAATACTGTAATAAGTGAATGGAAGAATAACTACTAGTCTAAAATCAAAAAACAGTTCATCTTATTTGTATCAACTTGACTATCAAAAGCCAATATTTAATATTATGCATGGTTTTGAAAAAATGTATGCTGCTGATCTTTGGAAATGATAAAATGTTTTGAAAAAATGTATGCTGCTGATCTTTGGAATATGATAACGGTTATTTTTGCAATGGTTGTTAAGACTGCAAATTGAGACTTTAAATATGAACAATAGTAATCTGAAAATTTGAAGTAGTAATTTTATATCCAACAATCTCTGCCAAATAACTTCCATGTTTTAAGTAATTAAAATATATATTTTAACCACTTGTTATTAATTTTATAAAGTAAATTCTATAATTTAAATTTTATTTACTTTCATCTATTTTAATGTTTGCCATTATAAATTTCATACTACTTTTTTAAGATTTCATAGTTGCTAATTAAACTTCCTTTACAATTTATTTAGTTATTTTATACATACATATATTTTATGTAAGAAGGGATTTATGTGCAATAGATATACAGTGAAAATCATTTAACACAAAACTGAGGGGACTGAAATATTTTTTCGTGTTAAAGAATATTGAAAAAAAAAAAAAAAAAAAAAAAGCATATATTCAACAAAATTAAGCTTATTAGAGTACATTTTATTTACATAGATATGTATATATGCATGTATTTAATAAAAATCAATGAAACAAAAACATCCACAAGAACTTAATGGAATTTAATACAAAATTTTCAAGTTTTTGAAAAACAAAACATTTATTGAGTTTTGGGAAAATAATCTGATATTTTTCTTTGCATTGTCTTTTTTAGCATCAAATTGTTCAATGTCAAACATTTTGTTATTCATTTCACCATTGGAATGTGCGTCTAAATAATTGTCCATACTAAATAATTTGTATGATGTTCCTCATTTCGTATGACGTGGGACCAGGAACTGCATTATTCATTTTATTTTTGTCGTCGTAATCTGCATCAATGATATTTTTTGAGCCTTTTGAGCTGAACAAACTCCAAAATAACTTTGTCTGCCATAATTGCAGCTGTACAGACATTATCATAAACTACTGCAACAACTTCTTCCGGTAGTACAGTAGAACAGTTCATTAATCCAGAAACTTTCTCAAACATTTCATAAAGTGTCAGCTCAATTTCAGTATCCTACTTCTCGATTTCTTTTGGCGCCAAAGAATCTCATACTTTTGAGAATCATGTGTAATGAAAACAATTTTCATTCCTCCTTGGAGTCAATGAATTCCATGCAGAGAGCAATATATGAACCAAACTCACTAATTTTTACTCACACTGCCATGTGCTCGTCACCGAATTCCAAAGCCAACTGATGAGAGATGAGATGTTTGTGTGGCGTTTGTAGAGGTGGAAGGCGAAAGTAGCATCGTAGATAAACAAAACTGGCTCGTGTCACGGGCTATTCCGAGGGTATTTCAAAGCCAAAGCCTCTTTTCTACGAAACATGTGAAACCACCTCTCTTTCATTTCACACCCCGCTTAATCTCGCCCTGCGATGCCAGTGTTTTCTGTATTTTGTTCATTTCCAGAAAGGATATCTTTTTCATGTTAAGCAATTTTTTTGTTGTGTTAAGAGAAACAAAATGCATGAAAATACATAGTAGTTTTGTCGGGACCGTTGCATTATTTCGTGTTAACCAATATTTCGCCTTAAGCGTTTTCACGTTAAACGTATTCCACTGTATACAGATGTGTTTGGACTATGTATATACAAATAATTTTTTAAAAGGAAAATTTATAATCCTTCCAAAAATTTTTGTGCATTATGCTGCTAAAAATTGATCAGTAAATATATAAAGAAAGAAATTTAGAACCAATTTTTCAGAAAGAATAAAAATTGAAATTCAAATTAACTTGATAAAATCCTGTAAATGTAGAATATCAAATATTCTTTTTAGACTAGTAAAATCTTTTTAAAAGATATTTTAATGATTTTACTTTCCCCCCCCCCCCCTTATTTTCCTTTGCTACTGCTGTTTGATAAGAGGTTCTAGTAAAGTTTTGTGTTAAAATTATTTTGAACTTTCAAAGATTTTCCACTGCAGGATTTTAATTTTTTCTACATTTTTAAGGGCATGTTTTCTTTCTTTCTTCTTTTTTTAGATTAGAAAAATATTTTTAAATCGGAAGATATTTTCAATGATTTTCCTTCGCTTTGAGGAGGACTAGAATTTTTTGGTGAACTATTAAGATAAAAAATATATTGAAATGGTTCATCAGCTGATTCTGGATACAGAGAAGCAAGGATTTTGTTTTTTGTTTTAGAAGGGGAAATGTAATTAAATTCGACATACCTCCTCTTGACGATATTATGTTAAAGTTGGTTGGATTCCTCACCTTTCTTGTTCTTTTATACTACTTTTTTGGTTTTTCTTGTGATGGTTTATTTTAACATGTTGACTGCCGTGGGGATCACCGGTGACCAGCACTCGACTTGGCTACAGCGCCCCAGGTGCCACTGGCAATGCGACCAATAGTAAAATACAAAATTAGAAATAAATATTGATACTGATAAATTTTTAAATAGTACCATTGTTACTATAATGGTTTGAAGAATAATAAATCGTAAAATTTAAATTATAAATCACAAAAATGGTCTACAGATGTTTGGGGTCGCTGGTGACCCCCAGCAAAAATGATTAGCACGATTATATATAACATTATGTTCTGTAGATAATATTTCAACATAATATATATCGCATAATAAAAATTTCAAGTTGGCGTCATGCGGCAAATCACGTAAAATGCACGCGGCAGTCAACGTGTTAATTTTTACATTTTAAATTATCTTGTTCCACATTTATAGGATTTTATGAAGATCATTTGAACTTCAATTTTTTTAGTCTTTGTGAAAAGTTGGTTCTAAATTTCTTTATATACTATATATCTAAGAACTCACACTCCTAGAAAAAACTAATTTATATATTTATTTATCCCAATTTTCATTTTGAAACATTTTAGTACATGCTTTTCCTCAATATTTTAAAAGTTGATTTTTTGTTGAACTGAAATATGTAATATGGAAAAATTCTATCAAAAAACATAACTCAGAATCACCGAAACAGGAGATAAATAGAGATAATAATAATGTGGGGTATTTGATTCCGATTCTCTTCCCCTAATAGTCATTTGAAACATTTTAGTGTGTTTTTTCCATTCAGCTGAAACAGTAAAAATATAGAAAAATTCCCACAGAAACATAATTCGGCTGAGAAACAAACAGGCAAAAAAATGGGTTGGTGTCAGGAAACTGATCTAAAACAGGGCTTCTTAAACTTTTTTTCAGTCGTGACCCTTTTTTATCATAGATTTTTTTCACGACCCCAAAATATTTACGAAAATTTTGTGGGACCCCCATAAGCATTGCAAAAATCTGACACACGCGCGAG